TCCCATCGCTACGTGTACGAGCATCGTTGTGGCAACAGCCTTCTTGTCGTTATTACAGTAACACGATCCTTTGAAGTAACATCGCGGCCCGATTTTATGATCTCTCCCGTAAACCGAGGTTTCACTTCGCAGTTTCTCGCCGCCGGCTTTCCCGAAGCATTAAACCGGATTTCAAACTGCTGCTCGAAAATGCAAGAAAAACGGAAGTCATTTTGACACGAACTAAAAAGCGGACCCTCCCGTCTGAGAGAGCAGAAAGTGAAAAAAGGGAAAGAAGAAAGAAAAGGGGGACACGAACGTCTTTCTAGCCCGGTCCTCTGATTACACTCGTTTCAAATTTAATCTCGAGCAGCAGACACATCCCTCGACGGATGTGTATGTGTGTTTTTCATTTTCTCGCGTTGCTCGTCCTTTAGAAATTATTCCGCATGTTAATTAACAATAGCTACCTCTCGTTCGAATTGACGAGACGTCGCCGTTAAAATGACAAATAAAGACACGTTACACTGTCCACGGAGAATAGTCGCTCCCCGTCTGAAAATTCGTAATAACAATCGCGGTGAAATGGTACACGTGAAATTTAATGCGAACACGCTGATTTAATATACACGTCACATTAACGCTTATATGCGGTCCGATTAAAAGTGAATTTATACTCGTGGAGGATTTATGCCGAACGGAAAAGAGCGCGCGATACACAGAACCGAACCAGCCAGCCAGGTCTCTTAACGGCGACGTGTGAGCGACGTTTAATTCGCGTTGTCAAGGAACAAGTCTCCTGGAGGGAGATAAACGTTCCCTCGTCGTAGACGTGTACGCTTTATGCACATATGATCGCGCGCCTTCCACACGCCAGGACCGAGCGAAACTTTCCTGAGATTCGAATTTGATTCGTAGCTCGAAAATATTGGGAAAAATTTCAACGGTGTCGAAGATGGGATAAGAATCGAATAGACGAGGGGAAGACACGTGATTGGGCTTGTAACAGGGTTATCAGCGTCGCTGTTAAATCGACTGCGAGCCGATTATGCAAGCGTGAGATAATGGGACACCGCGTTAGAGAAGAAGGTGATCGCGGACCTCTGCAGTTCCTTCGAGTTCCGCAGCATCGATATTATTGTCGTAGAATCTCGTCGGTTCGACGTCATCCCTGGTGAAATTACTGTCCTGGAATTGCCTCCGTGCGCCGGAAATCCGTGCTCGTCTAATCTAATGAAACTGCGCGAACTGTGTGTAATTAAGCTGCCTCGCGTCTGTCGCGCGGAATGAAAGCCGAACCGCGCCGAGCTGAGCCGGTCCGTGCAAACAGCGGAGGAAGGCAAGTTTCACCGCGGAAATTACTACGACAAATAATCGGCCATCGAACCTGGACCACATGGAATCGCGACGCTGATTTATGCTAGGCTTTCCAACGTGTACTTGCGATAACGAGAGTTGAGGTCCTCGGACGACCCCACTTCATAAGGGATTACGTTTGATCCGCCGGTATATTTAAAAAGTTTCAACTTTGGATCGATAAAAAATTCATAGAGTTACGTTAGAATTTGTACGTAGACGTGTAACCCCCTTAATCCTTGGAAAGATACAGAGAAACAAGGGGAAGTTCTTCTCGAAAAGTGTCCAAGGGTAGTAAGTAAGAACGGAGGGTAAAAACGGAGACGCGAAAGTTGGGAGCGACAAGAGGCGAAAGAAATAGGGAAAGGGTGAGAGGGAAGAATTATGTGAAAGTTGCGGGAACTCACCCTGAACTTGCCGAGGGATAGCATGGCGGAGATCAAATCGGCGGGGCCACGATGTCTGGCTCGCGATCTGCTCATCGACGTGACATACGTCAAAGGGCTGACATCCCTCAGTTCCCTGTGTCCTGCAACGCCTAACGAAAATATTGATTTTGCGCCAGGTTTGCCGCGGGTACGTGACTTACGTAAACGCTTCTGCGATCCGGTGACCAGAACATTGGGAACAGAAATTTGCCTGCGTCACCGAATCGCGACGTTCGTTTAAAACGCGTGCAACCCTCCCCGGATCTCCCCCTCTTTTCCGAGCAGCTTGCACGGTTCATCTATCGTTCCAGCATTTCCACCTCGAATTTTACGTGCCCGTTACGTATGATATTCTCTCTCGCAATGTCAACGTAAATCTTTGTCTCTTTCGCGCGTTTAGTCTCGCCTGGCCTCTTCGATCTTTAATGCAGCCCACTTATATTCGCGTTTTATTCGCACGATCAAGGTCAGATAAGGCTACCGGTGTCCAAGGAGAATTTTATTCGATAAGTGGCGAGTGAAGAAACACACACAGGAGACAACTCTGTAAATCACGCGAAAACTTCTCCAAACCTACCGTTTCTCCTACAATTTTCTCCGTATCGAAATCGTGCAAAACGATTTTTCGTATTTCACAGAAGCGCACAGTTACCGCAGAGACAATCGAGCTCCTTCCACGGCGAGGTAACAAAAGTCTGACGGACGGACGATATATTGGAAAAATTTCGCGAGAATTTTTTTGCACCGGCTACCCCTGGTGGTATCGGTTTTCCCCTTTTTCGTTGTCGAAGCGGCGCGCGGTGCCAAGTGCTCACCCGTACACACGCCACGGAAATAATTAATTTCACCGGGTGTTATTAGTCGTAAGAACTTCAGACCGATGCTTTCGAAGTGGAAGTTCCGACTGGAAAACGGGGGCTTGCCTCGTGGATCGCGGCTGCGAATCTAATTAATTCTCTAAACTCGAACACCACGCTCGAAATACCTTATTACCGCGCGACAAGTTTCCTTCCTTCGAGCGCAGAGGGAAAAGAACAACCGGAACAAATTTAAGGAACGAGTCGCGAAACGTTCGTATTTTAATGCATCGTACTTACCTTTAGTTTCCTTTGACCTACGCCGCAATTCTAGCATTGTGTCTAGCAGTTCACCAGCCCTCGAGTTCATCCTCTTTCTCCTCGCGATCATGCTCACGCTTCTGGCCTTGCTCCACGTGGAGAACGAGCTGAGTCCCTTGTTCTCGGTGAAAGTTAAATTGTATTTAATCACTTTGTCTCCGGGAAGAAACACCAGCCTCAAAGAGTTGCCAGACCTTTCGATCATCTTCGTCATACTCTCCGCCCAACACCAACCCTTCGACAAGTATTCCACGATTCCATTAGCAGGTGACTCTTCCTGAGTTATCACAGATTTGCAGAACATCGTCAGAGACTGCATTTCAGAAGTGTAAAGCTCCTGTTTCTTCTTCCAAGGTGTCGAACACCAACCGTACTCGTGGAGACTGTTGAAAAGGTTGTTCAGATATGGTCGCAGGATGGGCTCTAGGATTCTTCTGTCGTAGTCCATGCCTTGAACCATGTAACATACTCAAAAAAATTGCAGGTGTATTTATTTCACTTTGTAACGCTGTTAGGTATTCGCCTACCGAAGTATAGCCACTGTAAGAGCATCTTAGTCATTATTGGGAAAGATTCCAAGTCCACATTGGCGGTTTCTCTGTCTCTCCTGACGACGTCTATCAAAAGTCCCACTGAATAATCGAATTGACTGGACGTGTTGTAGTGTCTTTTCTTCTTCGACTCCTTCAGATGATCGTACACTCGAATTTTTCGATTCGCCATTGCGTGGATCTGGTCCCTGGCTTGTATTAGAACTAGCTTCAACAGAAATACCAGGTTCTCCACCTGTTCCGTCGTACGGTACGATAATTCCGGGAAATTCAGGTAAGATCCGGCGTCCGAGTGGTCCTGTCGACACGTGAAAAGTAATTCTGTTTTATTTTGTCGTGGTTTAATAAACAACTGCTGCTCGTCGAGAAAATTGTACCTGTAACGAGACGTATTTTGCCCGGAGAACTTGCTCCAGGATCAGACTAAAATATTCCAGTTGTCTCTGGCTATATCCATAATCCTCGTTAGACGTTCCTCTAGGCAACGAGGCCATGATGTCCCGCCATCTGACAATGAGCTCGCTCTCCATTACGTCTAGAGGTCTGGGCACGGGCCGTGTCATGCATGAGGAACTATAATGGAGCGTTTCCAAGTAAGACTCCACCAATCGACAATCGGAGACGTAAGAATCCTCGCGATGCACTATTCCGCCTACAGAAAAACATAAATACTTAATACGTAATCGGAATGGTACTTCTTTTTACACAGACAAACAGGGAAAAAGAAGGAATTTTGTTTTTTGCGAGTAAACTACGACTGTACGAAGAGAACTAATTCGAATCGCGTTCGGTTCGGTGGGTGGATTTTCGAGCTCCTTAATTAAATCGCGCTGCGAATAAACATTGTTCCATACAACAGGCGAATAAATAGACGGTGGACAAGCGGAGCGCGATGAAAAAGAGGCGATACCGATCGCAGTGTACCGTCAGCGTCGGAGCGGCTTATGGATGCATACAAATTGCCGGATACATCAACAATAATGGTATGCGTCGTTATCGTCACCAATTAAGGATTACCATGGTAACCAGACGATCGCACGCCCTACGTGTCGCCGCGATATTGATTGTCATATGATAAATAATGGCAAAAAAGAAGCTGAGCGATTTGACAGAGGCGTGTGTACGCCACGGTTTCTCCTTCTTCTTTTTTCTTCTTCACCCGGGCAAAACTGCATTACCTCGCGCGCATTGTAGCATCACGTTGCACCGTGGATGAAAGTAACACCTCAGGTTCTGGCATTTCAGAGCGGCGACTAACTCGTCCAGAGCTAATAGAACATGACGGGATAGGGTATCGGGCGCCCAACTCGTCAGAGGATCCGGTCCCGCCCTTTCCAGGGCCCATCGGTGCACGGTCTTCAGGATACTCCTCGAGACTACTCGTAAGCGATCCTGTACTGGAGCACCACCTTTCTTACTTACCTGAGAACATTTCATTCGCCACTCTTATTATTGTATCGTTTACATTATCTGCATCGAAAGTAAAAGAAAAAAGAAACTGAGATAACAGAGTTCAGAACACAGGGTAATTTCTTATCGATTGATATCTAAGTCTAGGAATGATCTTTAAGATTCTTCAAGAAGTTCCATTATGAATCTAGCGAGGAAAATAGTTGGCGATCGATAAGGCGAAATGAAGCAGCTAAACCGGAAGCGTAGGAAGGGGATGCAGGATGAAAATTTCAAAAATCGATTCAACTTTTCTCATTACGAATTCACCGTGGTCCGGATGATAGTGCAGAGGGGTGGATAAATTATAGCCAAGTCGAAGGCAGCAAGGTTTTTATTAAATAACGTGGTATCGGGGGCCTCCGTACCCATCAACTGAAGCAATAAGGGCGTTAGAGTATCTCTCGGCTTGCCAGCCGTAGGTCGCAGCTTCGATTCTCGCTTCTTGAGTCCGCTCCTACAATATAACGTAGAGGACGCATCACCGCGTCCGAGAGAATAGATTTTTCCACGGTGTGGCGGGTGAATCGCGGGCGAAGGTAAGGAAAGGAGACACGCGTTGGCTCATGTTTCAGAAATACACGTAGGCGAAAGAATCGGAGATCGCGTGAATGGGTGTGCGCGACGCGGTGCACCGTCTGGATGCAGGGTGAATTATTGTCGAGACGTCCCGTGAAATCACTCCTGTGAAATGTGTGCACCTAATATTCTCGTAGATGAAAACGTCAAAGGAAAAACCTCGCTGGGCCGTCTCTGAGACGTAACTCGTGAAAAGGGAACAGAGGACGTCGCGGCCGACTGGCTCCACGGTATAGTTAAAATCCATCGGGAGGATGTTCATCTGTCGCCAAGTCGAATATTAGGCGAAATATTCTAAAGAACGTGGACCGTTATTAGCGGTACGTTTAACGATACGCCGAACTATCGATACTACATATACCTTCGATTTGAGCATCGGCAGGTTTGGGCAACGTCCATCGCGAAGCTCGTACAAAATTTCGAGAAGCACGGATTCCGTGAGAGAGGGTACACTGTCGACGGCATAGTGTTGACTCATAATTTTCTCCGCTGCTGGAACACGTACCCTCCAGAGAGTTGCTCGGTTTTCGCAGCGTGCTCCGGAATACGGACCAACGGCCACCGCGTACATACCCTAGAATAACGAAGACAAAAAGAAGACGTGAAAGAAACGAATCCTGTCCATTTAGAGAAGAATATATGTGTACAGTAGATCGTGTCCGGTGTTGTGAATCGACGCGTGAAAAAATTCAACCAGGAATTTCCTCATTTTCAATGTTTGCACATCTGTGTCGAGCAAGGCACTCGGGAAAATTCATTTCCCTTTGCTTTCCCATCAATCGTGTAAAGTGGCTATAGCAAACGGGTTAATTCGTTTAAACGGTCCGGTCGCCCTCTGTGACGTGTTTCGCGGAGACAAAAGAAGCTCGAGTCGCGAAACGATATACACCCAGGTCCTCTCCTCGTTCGTTAATTTAATTAGCCAACGAGTCGGTCGAATCGCTAATAACTACGACCGAGTGAAGATTTACCTTGCGGATCTCATGCAAATCGATGTTCCGAGGATTCCTCGTTTACACGAAGCAACCTAGCCAACAGCAGCACGTTGTGTACGATGTTGCATCGAGCTATGCAACTCTCGACTCTGTGTACGTGCATCTACGCGAACCCGATAGATCGTTAAAGTGCAAGTAGGAATAACAAAAGACCGGAGGCATTGCTTGTTACCGAACCGCGATACTTATTCCTCGCGATAGGAACTGCCGGATGAAAAGTGTGAAACAGAATTTCACGAGTGCTCTCGAAATCTTTTTTCCAAGGAATCCATCCAGTACCGCATATTGGAAACGAGTGCACTCGAACCACCCTCCCTCCCTTCCTCTCTCGCTCGTTCAAGGAAAACCTACGCTTGAATTTTCGCTATGGTAAAAATTGCATAGATTTTCCCTGGGTGTGTTTCGCGAAACGATCCCTCGATAAATCCTTCCTTTTTATTAATCGTTTACTCGCCGACGATGCGATGGAAGTAATCAATGCTCTAATTGCAGGACGCATGCGTAGCACACGAGTCGATAAGCTTCACTTTTCGATACTTTTGTGTCCGCGAACTAGAGCGAAACACAAACGCCGGACACTCGATAACGAGGCCCGAAAGTCGATCAACAGATCACGATTAATCGATGCATCGTGCGAACAAGATCAAAAAGCATGCAAACTGACATCGACCGTTTTTCTATCTCTTTTCTTTCGACGTTACACACTGACACTTTGCGCTGCAGCATA